CGCGGGCGCCGGTGTCGCCCGCCTCCGCGCGCCGCAGCTCCAGCGCCGCCTCCAGCAGCGCGTCCCGCAGCGCCTTGAAGGACTGCTTGCAGACGACGTTCGCGAACCACGCGACCAAGCCCGCCGCCGTCTGCTGCAATTCCACGTCCGCGCCGCAGCGCAGCGCCACGGAGGACGCGGCGTCGACGACGGACGCGCGCGCGCGCGACCCCACCGTCGTGCACACGGCCATGTGGCGGATGGCCCGGTGCACGATGGCCCGCGACCCCTTGGCCACGGACAGCGCGAGCGCGCGCGCGCCGGCGACGGACGGCCGCAGCAGCCCCGCGCAGCCCCGCACGGCCCCGCGGTGCGCGTCCATCATCTCGCGGAGCGCCGCGCCCTGGGACCGCAGGCCCCGCAGGATGGACGAGACTCTTTCTCGCTCGATGGCCTCGTAGCGCCGGCACTCGGCGTACAAACTCGCGAGCGCGACGTCCTCGGCGCCGCAGTCCTCGAGGCGCGCCTCGACCTCGTCCCGCGCGACCTGCCGCAGGATCTCCTTCTCCGCGTCCTCGAGGTTCAGCGCCGCGTAGGCGTCGGCGTCGGGGTCGAGCGCCGCCTCGGGCGCGCTGAGCGCGTTCGGGGTGCAGGTGTAGAGCGCCTCGAGCTCGTCGTCGGGGCGCAGCGCCTCGGCTTCGTCCGGCGCCGCGACTAAGGCGTCGTCGGGCTCGTTGTCGGCCCCGGAGCCTGGTTCGGCGGGCTCCATGGGCCGCCGAAGCGCCGGCCGGCGGCGGTCAACACAGATCAAGGCGCATGGTGAAGCGCTTGTGGCAAAACTTTCAAAAGCGGTCGACGCCGTCGTTTGCGCACGCGAAAGTCACCCGCACGACGCGCCGCGGGGCGCCCCGGCGCCCGCCATGGGCGGGTCCACTCCGCCCCCTGGAGTCCCACACGACAAGGCCCACCTCAGAGGCGTCCCCGTGCTCATGACTAAGGCCCAGGTCGACGAGTCGGGTGTGCCAATCCTCCAGCGCAAAGACGGCATCACGCTCACGGCGGCGCGAAATGAAGGATTCTGCGGCCGTTTGTTCCGGGGCGAGGCCCTCCAGGAGACGCTCGACGCGGGCCGCGAGGGAATGCCCGTGGGGCGGACCCCGCACGCGTACAACGACGCGCTGCACGCGCTCGCGAAGGAGATGCAAGCCAAGGGCATCGGTCTCGAGGGCGGGGAGCATCAGCATCGGCTTGGTCTCCTGGCGTCCGCGGACATGCGGCACTCGCCCATGAACCCGGAATCTGAGGTATTTTCCGTGTCGAAACAGTGTGTTTTTGTCGCGGGAGTTCACGCGTTCGCGCGTCGCGCGGCCGCGCGCGCCCGACGGCGGCCGCTCGTCGGGGCCCGGCGGCTCGCGGCCGCGACGATAGCGCGCGCCGACGAGCGAGCGAACGGCGCGCCGGTCGCGTCGCGCGGTCGCGCGCGGTCGCGCGCTTGTGGTCATTGTTGACCTTCACTTGCACAGGCAGCCAAATTGGCTCGTCGGTTTCAGGCGGAATGGCGCTGCGTCGAGGCCATGGTTGCGCTGCCCGCGGTCGACCACGTGCGCCTCTTCGCGAACGGCGAGACCGACCACGGTGTCGACTCGTTGGGCCCCCACGCCGACTCCATCGTGGCGACGATGAAGTTGTACGAGCGGCTCCGCGAGCAGCACCCGGAGCTGCCGCCGCTGGAGTTCCCGGCCTCCGCGACGAGCGCCCAGCGGCTGGAGCTGTTCAGGGCCTGCGTCGCCGACGGCACCTACGGCGTGGAGCAGTGGCGCTGCGTCTACAGCGACATGGGGTGCCACCTGTACATGTTCGCCGCGCCGGTCGACAAGCTCGGCGACCCGATGCTCCGCGCGCGCGACGGCGGCGTCTTCGCGATGACTGTGCTCGAGGTCGAGCCCGAGTCCCTCTACGCGCTCCCCGCCGTCATGGCGGGGCAGCAGATCGTCGCCGCGCTCCAGCTCGACGACGACACCTTCGTAGCAGTCGTCTTCTTCCACGCGGTCGCCGCGCTGGGCGCGAACCGCGGCGCGCTCGTCGGCTCCAAGCTCATCCTCAGGGGGAAGGCCAAGGAGGAGCACGCCGCCGCCAAGGCGGCGCTCGCCCGCGCCCTCGCGTGCGAGGAGCAGTCGGAGTTTGACGTCGCGGCCGCGAACGCGGCCCTCTCCATCGACGATGGCTCGCGCGCGGACTTCGTCGACGGCGCGGGCCTCGGCGACGCGGCGCTGTCCGTCGACGACGCGGGCTTCGGCGACGGCGCGGACGGCGTGGACGCGATCATCGACGCCGCGGCGAGCGGCGACGTCTACGCGCTGGAGATGCTCGAGGACGACGCGGACCTGGGCGCCGCGGCGAGCGGCGACGACTACGCGCTGGAGATGCTCGAGGACGACGCGGACCTGGGCGCCGCGGCCCTGGGCGAGGACGACGCGGACCTGGGCGCCGCGGCCCTGGGCGAGGACGACGCGGCGCAGCTCGTCGCGCTGTTGGTGCAGCTTGAAGACGTGTCGAAGCGCGACGACGCGTGGAAGGTGCTCCTCGACGACGACGCGATGGCCCGCCTC